CAATGTTATACAGTTTTCAGAGTATAGGTTTTTGCATTTTTTTTATTAAACTTATTTGAAAGTTTTTTTGGATGCTATTGTAAATGGGATTTAAAAAAATTCATTTCATATTATTTGTTACAAGTGTGTAGAAATACAGTGGAGTTTCATATAGTGATCTTGTATTCTGCAGTCTTGCTGAACTCATTTATCAATTTTAATAGTTTTTTAGTGGATTCCCTAGGATTTTCTATATATAAGATCATGCCATCTGTGAATAGATAGTTTTACTTCTTTCCAATTGGCTGCCTTTTATTTCATTTTTGCCAAATTGCTTTGGCTAGAACCTCCAATACAATGTTGAATAAAGTGGTGATAGTGGACGTTATTTTCTTTTTTCTCATTTAAAAATGAATTGGAGAGTGTTCCTCCTTTTTCTAAATTCTGGACCAGGTTGTTTAAAATATGACTTATTTATTCTTTGAATGTATGATGAACTTGATGATCAAAACTTTCTGGGTTTTGTCTTATTTTTGTTGGAAAATTTTTAACAACTGATTTCAATTTCTTTAATGATTATAGGGTTATTTGGGTTTTACATTTCTTCTTGAGTCAGTTTTGGCATATTTGTGCAGAGATTTATCCATTTCTTCTCAGTCTTCAATATATTAGGATAAAGTTTTTGTAAATACTCCATATGTGACGGAAAATACAAATTTCAAATGTATGAAGGTGTAGGCAAGGTGTAATAGCCTCTGAATTGAGAAGGAACTTTGAGAAAAATGAAGCAGGCAACTTTATACACTTTAACAAGGAGTTTATTAATGGGTAACTTACATACGGGGAGAATTGGGCAGATAGCAATCCAGACATTCGTGCAGCTGCTGTCTGTGCTCTTTGGAGGGATGCAGGGGTTTATAAAGGAACTAAGGACAAAAGAGAGTATGTCTGTTATGATATATCAAAAGTTTTGTGGTCAGTGAGTGTTTAAGTTAAGGTTACTACCTGTGTCAACAGGAAAGCTTTGATCTTTATCTTCAGTTAGTCTAGCTTTTCAGTCACTGTCTTAACTATGCTTGCCTTCTTCAGATTAATGGATAACTTCCTAGTAAAAAGCATATGGGGGGAGGGTCACAGAAAGGGCAAATAAAGCTCAATGGACCTGAAGATGGAGTTGCTATGGCCTGCATTCCGACACAAAATTGTTGGGTGTGGTGGTCTGTAATGCCCATTAGCTCAATGTGGTCAGTTGTCTTATTCAAATCTTTATCTTTAGTGATGATTTTTTTATTTGCCGACTAATCCACTACTGAGAAATGTTATAAAAATCTCCCACCATGATGTCAACTTGTAGTTCTGTCAATTTATGCTTTGTGTTTTCAAGTTATTATTAAATACATATACAGTTAGAAATGTTACATGTTCCTGGTGGATGGAACTCTTTATTACCTTCAGTAACCTTCTTTCTCTCTAGTAATGATTTTGGCTTTCAGGTTTGTTTTTTCTAACGGATACTTACAAAGTGACACCAACTTAAATTTGGATAGCATTTACTTGGTATACCTTTTCTCACCTTTTAACTTTTAAACTTTGTGTCTCACTGGCTTAATACATTACTGTATTTTAAAAATCCTATCATATTGTCTTTTAAGTGGAACCTAATGTCTACAGTTTTTGAAATTACTGTTATATTGCGTTTATGTCATCTTACTTTGTGCTTTTATTAGTCACTTTTTGTTCTCTTTTTCTTTCCTTTTTGCCTTCTTTTGATTGTTTTTTTCACATCCCTTTTTCTCCCATATGTTTTGAAGTTATTCACTGTTTTTAGTGCTTACACTAGAAAATTTGTCAATGTTTAAATTAATATTTTACTCTCCCATTCAGCAGTGTGAGACCCATACCACTTTATTTTCTACCATTCCCTCCCAATTTATATGCTATATCATACGTTTATGTGATATATATACTTTTTTTTTGTAAACCCACAAGAGATCAATTGTATGAAACAATAACATTTAGAATTGCCCACATGTTTACCATGCTTTTGCATTGAGACCTTTTATCTCAGATCACTTTTCTTTTTATTCTTTACAACAGGGGTCAACAAACCAAATTGTAAACCCACAAGAGATCAATTGTATGAAACAATAACATTTAGAATTGCCCACATGTTTACCATGCTTTTGCATCGAGACCTTTTATCTCAGATCACTTTTCTTTTTATTCTTTACAACAGGGGTCAACAAACCAAAGCATGTAGGTCAAGTTTAGCCTGCTACCTGCTTTTGCAAACCCAGCTATGCCTTTTTGTTTACATATTGTGTATGGTTACTGTCATGCTACAGTAGTGGAGATGAGTAGTTGTGACAGAGACCATATGGCCCCATAGAGTTGAAAATATTTACTATTTGTCCCTTACTGAGAACATTTTCTGATCCCTGCTTTAAAATTTCCCTTAGTGTGAGGCTTTGATAATGGCAATCTTTGTTTTTTGTTTTTATTTTTGAAAACGTGTTTCTTTCTTCATTATTCTTGGTAGCTTTAGAGAGTATACAATTCTAGGATAGCTATTCTATCAGTGTATTGAAAATACTATTCCACAATTTTCTGGCTTTCATTATTACTATTGAGAAGTCCAGTTGTTCCTTTGAGACAAGCTGTCTTTGTTCTTTATGGTTACTTTTAAGATGTTCTCTCTTTTTTTTGGTGGCTAGCTGATACAGGGATCCAAACCTGTGGCCTTGGGGTTATAGGCTGTGTACTTTAACCAACTGAGCTAGCCAGCCAGCCAAGATGTTCTGTCTTTGCTGTTCTGTACTTTCATCATAATCTAGTTAGGTATGAATTTTTTATTTCAGTTTCTATTTATTTTTGCTTAGGATTCATTGGGTTTTCTGAATCAATGAACTGATGTCTTTTGACAGTTCTAGAAAATGTTTAGCTTTTATCTCTTCAGATATTTAGCTCTGCTCCATTTTCTCTTCCCTCTTCTTTTTTTTTTTTTTGTCTTTTGTCTTTTTTCCATGTCCGGCAACGGATCGCAACCCTCAGTGTCGCCCCCGTACCGGACCGGGGACCAGCAACGGGATTGCAAACCTCGGCGTTGCTCCCGCGCCTCACTCAGCCAGTGAGCGGGAACCGGTCTGTATGTGGGATCCGAACCCTCGGGCGGGAGCGCCACCGCGCTTCCCAAGCGGCGCACTTATCCAGTGCGCCACCGGGCTGGCCCCTTCTCTTCCCTCTTCTGAGTATGTTAGGCCTTTGCACTCTAATCTTTGTTTGTTAACCTCCCTCTCATATTTTTTCTGTTTCTCTGTGCTTTACTATTGACTATTTCTTCATATCTGTCTTTTTACTCTTCATTCTGGTTTCATCTGCTGTTAAACTTATTCATTGAATTAAATTAAATTAAATTATGTCTTTTGAGTTCTTCGTCATATATAGTTGGTCATTTTTTATAGTTCTTGTTTTTTTTTTTTTAAAGATGACCGGTAAGGGGATCTTAACCCTTGACTTGGTGTTGTCAGCACCACGCTCAGCCAGTGAGCGAACCGGCCATCCCTATGTGGGATCCGAACCTGGGGCCTTGGTGTTATACCGGTAAGGGGATCTTAACCCTTGACTTGGTGTTGTCAGCACCACGCTCAGCCAGTGAGCGAACCGGCCATCCCTATGTGGGATCCGAACCCGGGGCCTTGGTGTTATCAGCACCGCACTCTCCCGAGTGAGCCACGGGCCGGCCCCAATATAGTTCTTGTTTTTATTCATATTCTCAAACTCTTGTTTCTTTAAACATTTTATTTTATAGGTGTTAAAACATGTCTTATTTCAAGTATCTGTTATTCCTGTTGGTTCTCTTAGCACCTTGTTTTCTTATGTGTTGTGATTTTTTTGGACTGTATGTTTTTGTTTTGTTTTTTAAACTATCTGTGGGGATTTCTTGAGGCCTGGGTTAAAGATAGATTCTTCTAGAACCTGTGAGAACTCTGACTCCCCTCTCTCCCTCTTCCCATCCTGCCTTCCTCTCTCTTTCTTTCCTTTTCTGTTTTTTTCCACCTTGGTTTCCATCAAGATCAAAGCTTATGCCAACTGTAGTATTTATATCATCTTTGGTTTTAAGTATAATTCTTTTCCCACCTTGACTTTCAGTCCCTTTAAAATTTTTATTTTACTATTCTCAATTTTTAAAAGTGTTAATATTACACATCAACCCATAAACATCTTTGGACGTAGTATGGTCTAGCTTATAAATAAGTTGCCCTTATAACTAACTGAAGGTAGGCAAAATGAAAGTAGGCTGGGAGAACAGCACCCTTTCTAGAGTCCTAATTTAAAATATTCTAAGCGTAATAAATACATTTAATTAGGACTGAGCAGCTAGCACATTTTTTTTGAGAACAAGAATAACAGAAAAAAGGTCAAGGTACAGGTATGCAACAAAATCTGAATTAAAAATATTGAATCTTAGGCACACATGAAGAAAGTATCATAAAAGCAGGCTATTAGATGCTCAGTTTAGCTAATAAGAGAATACCCCAGAAATGATTTTCATAAAACCAAGCATGGCAATCACTGTACTTTTTATTATTTTTAAATAAAGAGTCTTTTGAATATATTGTTTCCTTCCAAAGCTGCTTCCATGTTTTTAACTTACAACTCTGTTGCATAAGATATACATGTTTTTATAAAATATATGAGATGTGTATGTCTTGGGTTGACTAACCTAGAGTTACCAGCTCTGGAGTCCCACAGAATACTAGAGCCACATAATAAATCAGTCTTCCAAAAGATAATGGACATGTTTCACTTATAGAAAAAAGATGTAAATTTGTATTTAAGGTGTTATCATTGACTAATATACAATGGTTTTATTAGATTAGCAATAAAAGAAAACCTTAACTGTCCAAAGTCAATTTAAGTACTAAAACACACATAGGCATACACATATACACACAAACCCTCTCTCACACTTTAAAATGGTAAGATTAAAGGCACAGAAAAAGCAGTATATCAAACCAGAGTGTATTAGGATATTGATTATATTTAAATAATTATTTTTCTGTTTCCTTCTGTAGGTGAAGATGACTTCATAGAATTTACCACAGTTACTTGAGAATCTCCAAAAGCATTGCTGGCAGAGGCCTGACTAGGAGACAGATGATGCATCTTCTTACTTTTCAATGTCTCCTCAGATTCTTTCATAACAACCGGACTTGGTTGGTCATTTTTTAAGACATAGCCTGATCCAAAGAGTTCTTGCATTAGACTGCTTTTCTTATCTTTGTAAGTTGTATCTTTCACTTTTGTTCTGGAAGACTTACCAAAAGAGGGTTCATACCCGCTAATAGAATGTTCTTGCTTTACTTCTACATTACTGCGATGTTTGTATGTATTATGATTGCATCTCGTGCCATCTGTATTGGCTGGCCCACCTGAAGCAGGAAGCCCATGATGCAAGTTTTCGATCGCTTCTGTAAATGAATAATGCTTTCTTTGTCTGAAGGGTGTTTTGATATTTGGAACGGCATATTTATCAGGTGTCTCATCCATGTCACTTATTTCTACACTTCTTTTAAAGTTTTCTTTTACTGTATCATCTTCCTGGTTGCTTTCTCTTTCAGGATGAATTTCTTGAATTCTTTTTGGTGGTAGTTCTTCCTCTTTCATTAACATGATTTTCTTTTCTTGATCTTCCTTTTTCTCTTTTTGTCTTCCAATATTCTCCAGTGCTGCTTGTACTTTCAAATGTTCCTCTTCCTTTGATAAACCTATATTAGAAAAATAGACAATTTAGTGCTTTTTAAAATTCATGGAGTTCTGTTTCTAGATGGCATGTTCAACACACCTATTTACACCTCCTGACAAGCACATTAAAATGACAGAAAAGGTAAATAAATGCATCCAACATTAGAATACAGCGAAGGGTGCCATTAGCAAGCTTGAAATGTTGTACTTTCCTAGGACATTCCAAATAAATGGGAATTATAAAACCAAAAGATATTCATAGGAGAAGAAATAAAATTTGCCAATAAGATTATTCACAGATGTTCAACATTACTAGATGGAGGCAGTGCCAGTTAAACCAATGAGAACATTTTCTACCCATCCTATAGGCAAATAATTTCTAGAGTTGCTGAGAATATGGGGAAACTGGAAATTTTGATCCCTACTGGTGGGTGCATAAATTGGTACAACTTTTTTGGATGGCAATGTGGCAGTATCTATCAAAATTTTAAGTGAACATACTCTTAGACCCAACAGCTTCACTTCTAGGAATGAACCTATGAAAATAGACAAAGATAAGTATAAGAAAGTTTACTGCAGCATGGTTTGGTAACAAAAACGTCCCAAATATCCATCAAAGGAATAATGGTTAAATGAAGTACTGCGTGTGCAGTGTGTGTGACTTCAAGGTAGTTATCATAAAGAAGTGGTGGATAGACATGAACAGCCAGGGAAAGACGTTCCCACACTAGAATATAAATAAGCACACGAGGGCAGGGTATTTTGTGTTTGCTCACTGCTGTCTCCCCCAGAGCCTAGAACAGTATATGAACAGAGCCTGACACATAGTATATGCTCAAAAAGTATTCATCAAATGAACAGATAAACTATGTAGGATGATATGAATTACCAACTCGACTGAAAAATAAGTGGAAAACTTAAACAGACCAGTGGCCACAGTGAAAATGCAACTGATGATCTGTTTCCACCAAACCGCACCTGCCAGAGTGGTTTTACAGGTGAATTCTACCAAACTGTTGTGTTATGTAAACTCTATTTGGCCTCACAACTAAGGTGTAGACCTTCTAGGGTTTCTACTGAATGCTTGAAGTGTTCAACAAGGACTCTCCACTCTGGACTGAGGGAACTCTTAGAGTCACTCATCAGTGACTGTTTTTAGAAATCGTTCTTGCCCAGCCTTGTGGGGTTCACACAGATTTCCCATTAGCAATAATGTAACATAAAAACAGTGGGGCATCAAAGTCCAGAACAGAATTTTGAATTCCTTCTGAAGGAAAATGATCTCCAACCTAGAATTTATGATCTAGTCAATTCTCTATCAAGTATAAGGGTGTAATAATGACATTTCCAGATGAAAGGTATACAAATTTACCTTACTTGCACCGATTCTCAAGAAGCTAGTGGAGTTTGTGTTCTTTAAAATGTGATGGAATTTACCATGTAAGAGGAGAACATGATTTAGGAAACAGAAGATCCTGTAGAGAAGGGGATGACATGGACCTACAGGAAATGAGGAAGGGAGACCCCAGGATGGTGGCTGTGTACCAGAGGAAGAGAGACCAAGACCTCCACTCCATTATACTTCCAATTACCAAAGGCCAGATGAGCCAGGGCCTTGGCCTGTCTTGACTGTGGGCTGGTGATGTGTTGCACTCTCTCTCACACTCAGTAGCCTAGGTCAGCTGAGCATTTCCCCTGCACCCCACAGAAGTGTTCTACTGTGACCTACTCCCGAAAGCTGGATTAAGCTTTGGTGATCTTAGAACAGGAAATTCTGAGCAGCCCATTCCCTCTGACTCTCCCTCTCCTGGACCTGCCCAGAGGAGCCTTGCTAGATGCTGTGGATCTGATAGTTAGTCTGCCTCCCAGGACCATTCATGACCTTGCTCACTGATTGGGCCCTTGTACGTTTCAAGGAAGCTGAAGCCAAAGTCTCTGTTCAGTTTTTCTTTTCCTGGAAGTCTTCTTTCAATGAGGGCAATATTGCGCCTTACTCTGCTGGATTTGGATTTGCTGCTCTGTTTTCCAAAGCTGAATATATTAATTAAGGATACTGTACTGGACTGAATGTTTTTGTACCCCTTAAATTTCATATGTTGAAGCCCTAACCCCAGTGTGGCTGTATTTGGAGATGAGGCCTTTAAGGAAGTAACCAGGGTTAGATGAGGTCATAAGGGTGCGGCCCTTGTGATGGATTTAGTGTCCTTATAGCAAGAGAAACCAGAGCACTGGCGTTGTCTTATCCACGCTTCCTGAGTGTAAGCACTGAGGAAAGGCCTTGTGAAGACATAGTGAGAAGGCGGCCATCTGCAAGTCAGGAAGAGAGCCCTCACCAGAAACCAAATAGCTGGAACCTTGATCTTGGACTTCTCAACATCTAGAACTGTGAGAAAATAAATATCTGTTGTTTAAGCCACAAGCCTGTGGTATTTTATGTGGCAGCCCAAGCATACTGACGTAGATATGTGTAAGGATAGGGAGCTGTAAGGAAAAGCAGGGGAATGACTGGCATAAAATCCAAGATGGCAGTTGATTCCAATGGGCAGGGTGAGGGGATATGATGGTGAAGGGCCCGGGGTGTTCTAAGGAGCACTCATGCAGGGTATTGGGTACACAGCTGTTCCTTTTACTATAATTCTGTAAACTATACACATGTTTTACACACATACAAATTCACAATTTTTAAAAAATAAAATAAAGACAGACTTTTTAAAGTTGTTAAAATTACCTTCAAATTTTCTCTTAGAATCCTCTTGCTTTGGTAGTTTACTGATATAGTGAGGAATTTCACAGTTTATTCCAGTTGATTTTTCTTTATGACCAATATTTCCTGCTGCCTTTTTACCCTATAATTTAGAAAAGTAGCAAAAACACAGTTTTGGGGGGGTATAGATTAAATTGTATTTTATTCTAATGAATACAAACACTTTTTATATAGAATAAGAGACTGTTTATAGTCTAATTTATTTTTGTTAAGACATGTTTAGTTAGACACTGCAAGATTTTAAATTTGCTGTACCTTAGTTGTCAAAGAAGAAACATCTTCTGATTTTTGGGTTTCCTGGTGTCTCACACTTGTAAATGACAAACTTTTCCTGTCTGCCTGTACTGATTTTGTTGAAGAAACTACAGAACAGGTAGATTACATATAAGAAACATATTTTACATTTGGAAGCAATATTGATTTTAAACATAAAATAACACTGAAGTATGCAATGTAATAAAATATACTAGATATTTTCTAAATATTCAATATATATAACATTTGCTATTTTTTTTTTTCTCCTGCCATATCCCTTGCTTTGTCTTATTTTGGGCCATAGAGGTTATGGGTAAATCACAATGTTAGAGTAAAAACAAGCAGGTATTAGGGTAAGACAGCACCGGTGTGTGAAGATAAGGCTGTCCCTTGCAGAAGAGATTCAAAGCTGTAGACAGCAGTTGTGAGAGGCTGAGCACTGCGATATCCTGTGTCAGAGCTCTCGATGCTCAAAGGTTAGACTGTCCATGCTGAAGTATGAGTATGACCACTAAATCTAGACTTCACTTTCCTTGAAATATTATCTCATTGAAACCACTCCATGGTTGATTCATCATCTTCTATGAATGATAAACCAGAAGCAAAGAAAGGAAGGTAAAAAAAAGGTGTTGCCTTTGCGAGTAAACATGTAGTTACATCTCCTACCAACAGAGAGGTGAATGTTCTCATTGTAGCTCTTCTGATAGAATCTGACACTGGGAGATCTTGGGGGTAAAATAAGCACACATTGTCTTAAAAGAAATACTACTCAGCAATAAAAAGGTGCAGATGAATGACAGAGCATCACCACGCATGAATCTCAAAAACACTATGCTGAACAAAAGCAGTGAGATACAAGAGAGTATGTGATGCCACTTGTATGAAATTCTAGAACAGGCAAACAAAGCTATTGTGACAGAAGGGAGTCACTGGTTGCCTCAGGCCAGGGATGGGGACTACTGACTGCAACTGGACAAGAGGGAACTCCCTGGGGAGATGGAAATGTTCATTATCTTGATTAGCGTGGTAGTTCCATGGGTATAGCATTTGTCAAAACCCATTGAACTGTTGAGGTAAAATGTACCTCAATAAAGTTTATTTAAAATCCAAACACTGGCTAACAGATATACTTAGAAATTTCAATTTTTGGTGGACATTTTGCTTCAAGCTGAAAAGTCATCCTCTTGTTCTACTTAGAGTAAGGACTGAGCTGAAAATGAGAAAACAAAAAAGCGTTTTCTAGCTATTTCAACCATATGACACAGTATCATTATTCTTCTAGAATCACAAGATGTATTTTGAAGCTAAATAAAATGATTTTTTAAAATATCCATTATTTTGGCTATATAAATTAGGAAAACCTGACTAGATACTTAAAAATAGATTTTGAGCAAAAGTAATTAAAACATACCTTTTGGATAATCTTCTTTGTCATGTAAATTTTTAAAGATTCTATTAGCATAGATGTTTTTAATTTCAAGCTCACGATCCTTCTCCTAAAAAGAACCACAATGCCAATTTTTCTATAAATGTTTGCTTTTATCAACCTTGATTTCTTTTAAAAAACAATTTAGCTCTCTCCCTCACCCTCTCTTGCCCTTCTGTCTTCTACCGTGGGATGATGCAGCAAGAAGGCCCTCACCAGATGCTGGCCCCTCAATCTTGGACTTCCCAGACTCCAGAACTGTGATCCAATGTATTTCTTATGTCTCAGGTATTTTGATATAGCAGCACAAAACAGTAAGACAGCCAGCATGGTGGGGACAGCATGGCGAGAGAAAGAATTTGCTTCCAACTTTCCCCAGAAGCTTATGGGATAGAGAAAGGATGGCCTTGTGACTTGCTTTGACCAATACAGTGTGGTGGATGTGACATTGTGTGAATTCTGGAACCTCCAGCTCATCTGGTCTTCATGAAACCCTCAAACCACCATGCAGTGAAGAAACCCAGTCTAGCGTACTAGAAGATAAGAGGTCACATGAAGGAGAACCCAGCTGACAGCCAAAATGATTTGGGAGGGAAGCCATCTTGAACCATCCAGCTCCAGTCAAGGCATCAGAGATGGCACTCAAGGCAGAGAGACGGTGGGAAAGAAATATCCTGGCTTTCCCCATCCTTTATCCTTGTACCTTCCCTCAGTGCCTCCTTTCTCCTCTAGTGCCTCCATTTGGTCTAACAAAATGAAGCCAGCTGATTGTGGACCCTGGGAAATGCAGACTTCAAGATGAAGAATTGGACAAATAGGCCCAGGATCAGCACGGAGGATAAAGCAAATGACAGAAAGCACTGAGTGGGGAGAAAAGCAGAGGGTTTAGTCCTCTGTTGTGGCCATGGAGGAGGAATAAAAGCTTATGAAGGAGAGAGTGAGAGATCAGCCAGATACGTTGGAACAGCAATACAATGTTGGTTTGAAATAAAAAATGAGAGGATTAAGAGGAAGGAAAAGAGGTCTGATAGATAAATGGTGTAGAATAATGCAGAGACTTCAAAGAAGGAAACTGGCAAGAGACAACTTCCTTTCGTGGCATGCATTAATTAGTGACCCAAGAGTACACTGTAAACATAGGTTAACCTTTCCTTCCCAAACTGTGGTTTGAAAATCTTTACAGGTTTGTGAAAGTGTCACAGGGATTTATCATCAAAAATGGCCATGCTATCTGATTTCTAGTATGTTTTTTCTTTTTTTTCTTTTCCTCTTTGTCTTTTTTACTGACCGGTAACGGGATCGCAACCCTCGGTGTCACGCCCGTACCGGGGACCGGCAACGGGATTGCAACCCTTGGTGTTGCACCCGTACCGCGCTCAGCCAGTGAGCGGGAACCGGTCTCCACATGGGATCTGAACCCTCAGCGGGAGCGCCGCCGTGCTCTCAAGCGGCGCACTCTCCAGTGCGCCACCGGGCCGGCCCAAGTATGTTTTAAAAATTCTTTATTTAGATGGTATGTTTATAAAAAAATTTCAAAGGTAATATACATTGCCATTAAAAAAATGAGATGCATAAACACTAATAATATTTAATTTGTTTAAAAATGTTTAGATGATGTTATGATTATTTTTTCTTTTCAAAACTGAACATTTTGAGTCTTGTAGAGTGGTCCTGTACACAGTAATTTGATATAAGATGATTATATTTATGATTTGGTCACCCAATTGAATACCTCTAGCCATGGTGTTGATTGTGATTACCATAGAGCAAAAATTATTTTTATTCTTAAGCACCTTAACAATTCAATTCACATCTATGATGGGGCCCTTGATAAAGACAAAAATCAAAATGAATACTAAAGTTAAATGCAAGTTAGTCAAGAATGTAAAAATGATAATAATTCTGCTGGTTTGTTTCAAGCTGTCCTATACAACATTTTTGTTTCATTAATTGAATCACAATTTTTACATAGCACACCAGAATCTCACTAGTATTTTCAAAACAAGTGTAAAAAAAAAATATATATATATATATA